ACACTCAGAGCCCTCCCAGCTCCACAGGGGGAGCTGGAGGGGGCTGGAAAAGCCCTTTTTTTTTTTTTTTTTAATCTGCACATTAAGTACAGCCTCGAATTTGAGCTCCTCGAGCCCTTCTGGGAGCTTTGGGAAGGGCTGCCATGGGAAGGAGACCCTCTCTGAAGGGCTGGGGGCTCACCCACGGCTCTGCTGAACCAGGGGACAAAACCAGGGAGAGGCAGGAGAGAGGGGAAAGGAGCCAACGCCGTTTTCCACCTGCTCCAGGCGCACTGAGCCCCAAATCCCAGGGCTCCAGGGATCAGCAGCCAGAGCCCCCCCATCCCACAGCACTCAGGGCCCCAACCAGGCTGGGAGAGAGCCCCCAGGTGCTATTCCCAGGGTTTGGAATGCTGAACCCACCACCAGACACCACTCCAAGAGACCCAGGGTGAGTGGGGAAGTGGGTTTTTGGTCCCCCCCACCCCCCCAGGTACAGCAGCTCCCAGAGGGTGAAAAAGGGAATCCTGAGGGAGCGACCCCAGCGAGGAGGACACGGCATCGCTCAAACACGGATTGCTACAGGGATCAGGGCCTGGGAGCAGCCCCTCTGCCCCCCTGTGCCCCCCCAGCCCCACCAGCAAGGGGAGAGTCCCAGGGGCTGCTTCCTTGGCAGGAAGGAAAGGAGACATGCACATGGATCCAACCCGCTGCCTCAGGCGGGAAGGGGAGCCGAGGAGGAGGAGGAGGAGGAGGAAGGGCTGCAGCAGCACCTCAGTTCTTCAGGATGGTCTCATAGGCCTGGTAGACGTACTGGGATACTTCTGGAGCTCGGCATTTCAGGGATAACTGTGGGAGAGAGGGAAGAGGGGGGTCATGGCATCTCCCCCCCACACTGGAGAGTCACCAGCCCCAAAGCAGACCCTGCATGCTGCAGCACCCCCTCCTCCACAGGGGCATCCAGCTCCTTATTGCAGCTGGAAAAAGGATATTAAAGGCACTGAACCCCCAAAATACCATCCCAGGGCAGCACATCCACATGCAGCACAGGCAGGGGGGCAGGCAG